AACCTTTTCAGCTCGGGAAGTGCCAGCCCAGGAGCCTGGGACCGCTCGGGAAGAGCTTCCAAGGCAGCCAGAGAGGCGGGATTATCCCGCAGTAATTCACCCACTGCAGCCGCAGCCGTGTGGAAGCAGAGGCAGCCCCAGCTCCTGATCCCTCTTCTCCCCGGGGAGCTGGGCAAGGGAGGGACAGCGAGAGGCAGAGCAGCTTTCCAAGCTTTTCTCTGGGAGAAGGGAGCACGTTGAGCCATCCCAGGAATGCTGGAGACATCCCCAGCAAACCTCACCCAGTGTCCTCCTGCTCCTGTGAACGCTCCCCAAACCCCACCTTCACAGATCAGCAGCATTCCAGACCAAGTTTAAGGTTTTCCCAAGTGCCACAGGTTTCTGGCTAAAGGCAGATCCCTAAAAGTCACATTTATCACCTCAGATCTGCTCCCTCCTCATCCTCATTCCCTCAGCACTCTGCTCTGGGCAGTCAAGAACCCGACTGGGCTTCTCCAGAATCCTGGAATACCCAGAGCTGGAAGTAACTCACAAGGAACAAATCCAGCTCCAGGATAACTCCTCGGGTTTGGAGTCTGTGCTTCCATGGGCATCCTGGGAGGTTGGGAATTGCCCTTCCCGGGAAGCAGCACCCACGGGAACCCACGGTGCCCCCGCAGGGTGGGAGCCACCAGCGGAGCAGGAGCGGGGGATGGATGAGGGGGGATGGATGTGGGAGATGGATACAGAGCAGGAGATGGATACAGAGCAGGAGCAGGAGATGGATGAGGGGGAATGGATACAGAGCCAGGAGCAAGGGATGGATACGGGGGGATGGATGCGGGGGGATGGATGCAGAGCCGGGAGCAGGGGATGGATGTGGGAGATGGATACAGCCCCGGGAGCAGGGGACACGGAGGCAGCCCCGGGAGCAGGAATGCCGCAGATCGGGAATTCCGCAGACCGGGAATGCCGCGGAGCTCCGCTGCCATCCAGCGGCCGCGGGACGCGGCTCCAGCAGCGCCCGTGGCTTCGCTGGAAGCCGCTGTCCCCTCCCGTGCGGCTTCCGACACAGCCAACACCCCCTGGATGGGTTTTCTCCAGTATCCCGCCTCGTCTGGAGCAGCCCTGCGGTGCTTTACTGCTGCTCCCAAAGATATTGGTCGCTCCATGAGTTTTTTTACATCTTTTTTCCAGGGCTGGAGCATCTCTGCTCCAGAGCCAGGCTGGGAAAGCTGGGAATGTTCAGTCTCCGGGGAAAATTTAAAACCCCTTCCAGTGCCTGAAGAAGCTCCAGAGGAGCTGATGAGGGGATTTGGACAAGGGATGGAGTGGCAAGACACAGGGAATGGCTTCCCATTGCCAGAGGGCAGGGATAGACGGGATACAGGGAAGGAATTCTCGGCTGCCCCATCCCTGGCAGTGGCCAAAGCCAGGTTGGACGGGGCTTGGAGCAGCATGGGACAGCGGAATGTGTCCGTCTCGCGGCAGGGGTGGCACTGGATGGGATTT